GTTCATTTTGATTATATGTGTGTATGTGTGTGTTAATTGACATTTCCAAACTGCCTGCCCTTCCCTAAAGAGCAAATATCTGTGATGTAGTTATAAAATCAGTTCTAATTTTCTTACTATGAAGCCACAGATAATCAGCCTGTAAATTTCAGCCATGTTGCTACTCTCCACGTATGTGAAGCCGTAAATTCAAAACCGTATGCAGGTTGGTGAAAATTGAGGTCTAGGCAGCAAAGCATGTCCATAAACTTTTCTCAGGTTATTGGAATAGAACAAATCAAAAGCTGTTCCTGGTTGTATGATATTCTCTTTTGATAGACCCAGACTGCTTGTTGTTAGCAATCCAAGTGCAGAGGTTAGTCAGAGCAGAATGTAATTTCTAGCAATCTGACAGACCTGAGGATTGAAGCGGCAGGTTTTCCCTTCCGATTTCAGGGAATTGCTTCTTACTGTGACAAATGATTAGCTGTTATCTCTGACTGAATTTGATTTCTACAAGCAGCTGAGTCAGGTAACTTTGCAGCATTTGAGAGCTGTTTCGTTTCGTTGTGTTTTTTGTTTTTTTTACAGTAAATGAAATCGGCTCTCAAACACCTCCCCCAGTCATATGTAGCCCAAATCAAATCTTTCCTGTTAGGAACAGTGAACAACAACTGTCTTTTTTTCTTTTTCTTTTAGTATGTGGGGAGAGTGTTAACCAGAGGCAGATTTACCAGTTTATCTCAACTTGTGACTGATTGGATGGATGGATGGATGGATGGATGGATTCGGGGAGGAACTTGATGGATGTTAACATCTACATTCAGCAACATTACAGGGAAATTCCTTTAGCAAGGCACTGTGGGAGAAAGCCAGAGCTTTCAATGCAGCATGCAAGCCATAAACAAAACTACTCAGAGTGAGGTGGTATAAACTGGGTTACTAAATTTGGTTTTGCATTGTTTCCACACAAGGGACTGAATTGTAATGTTAATCTGATTAGACTCATTAAGAATGCAACTCACCCTAGTGCAGAGAGTCCACTGGGAGGTTTTCTGCATCACTTCACCTCACATTAAAGATTTAACTGTGGCTTGACACTTTTGATGGTGATGGTGGTAGGACTGGTGTGTACTAACTGTTTGCGGGGCTGATTTCCCCCATCCAAATCTTGGTCTCAAGTCACTCTTGCTGGGCTCAGTTCTTTCACCCTTCACAGGACGATGGTGGAAAGCCCAGTTATGATATCATGGTATCAATTCTAGCACATGCCTAGAGGACAACCATGTTTTCCCAAGTGGCTCAGGGGCTATCAAAAATAATTTGGAATTCAGATGAACAGGAGTGCTATTTATGGAGGGATATACAGGCATGGTTCCATGTGACCAACACATATTCTGAGAGATAAGAAAAGTCATATATTTGTCTTTAAGGGAATGCACTGCTAGGTTGCAGACTAATATAAGGTGGGTCACAATGGCAGCATTGCCACCGTAAACATGTATAATTTAAAACCAGTTAATAAGTTTCCAGATACAGTGGTACCTCTGGTTATGAACTTAATTCGTTCCGGAGGTCCATTCTTAACCTGAAACTGTTCTTAACCTGAGGTACCACTTTAGCTAATGGGGGCTCCCGCTGCCGCTGGGCGATTTCCGTTCTCATCCTGAGGTAAAGTTTTTAACCTGAGGTACTCCTGTATTTTTCGCCCTATAGGACGCACTTTTTCCCCTCCAAAAATGAAGGGGAAATGTGTGTGCGTCCTATGGAGCGAATGCAGGCTTTCGCTGAAGCCTGGAGAGCGAGAGGGGTCGGTGCGGTACTTCCGGGTTAGCGGAGTCTGTAATCCGAAGCGTTTGTAACCCGAGTTGTTTGTAACCCAAGGTACCACTGTATACATTTGGACTAAAGGTGAGCACAGAGTCCGAAAATATTTGTTAGGGCCAATAACATACTGGATATAGGATACAGAACAGGACTGAAGTTGTAAAGCATTCCAAAATTCCCACCCTGAAACTACTTCTGTGTCAGTATTCACATGAAGCTGTCATGTGCCCCTGTCATGTGTGATCGGTGCTCGTGCATAATTTTTTGCTATATACATGTTTGGAAATCACAGCCAGTCACAGCTTCCCAGTGCATCTACAGGCAGTAAAAGACACATGTATTTGCAGTTATCTCACATTATGGCATATGCATGGATTGTGAGATAATTCCAAACGGGAGCTCTTTCCAGTTAGGAATTGTATGTAAATTCGAGCAACCTCCAGTTACTGCAAACTTTGGCAAAGCCTAACTGTTTTACTGTTCCTTATCATGATTATATGTCTCATCCTTGAGCCACTGTACTGGCAAGCTCACAAGTTTATTCCTTGGTAGAGGGCATGAGGAATTCTAGCGCATGAAAGGCACCATAGGGGAAAAAATGTTTCTTGATCTAGCTGAATTCCTGATTCATTGTGCAGCTCATGAAACAAGAACGATCTTAATAAGTGAATTCTATGAGATTTCTTTTCCTGTTTGACTTTTGGCACAGTAGTCCTTGGTGCCTAGTTTGAGCCTGGGGCTTGGTTTCAATCAGACTTTTGTTTGCCTAAGTACCAGTGTTGTCGTCATGATTATGGCTCATAATCCTTTTTGTTGTATTTTGGATAGCCCCTCTTCCCTCTCCTAACCTTCCCTCCCCATTTTGGTCATATGCCCTTAAAATTCCTGCTCGAACTGGCTGCTGGCGGTGGGTGCTTCTCATTTTCTCAACTGATCCTGCCATTTATTGAGTAATGTAAGCTCACAATGTGCCTATCGTGAGTGCCAGCTGTGAAACAGAAGCGTAGTCCTCCTGCTAACCTCTGGTTAAGCACCTCTCAGCTGGGTTGTCACCTAAGTGCGTCCATAAAGACGTAACAGAGTTGTTCAGGTTGGATACAACCTCTTGGCAAATTCTCCTAAGCGAGTCCTGCTGAAATGGCTGTGGAATGGCTCCCATTCCTTTTGCCGAGGCTTGTATAGAACTTCCCAGTGGATTTGGTCTTGCTGGATTGGCTATGGTTTATCATAAACAAGAATAAACGCAGTCTCGAATTAAAGCATCTCAGAAATGGCTGCTCGCTCTACACCATTACAGTGGTACCTCGGGTTACATACGCTTCAGGTTACATACGCTTCAGGTTACAGACTCCGCTAACCCAGAAATAGTACCTCAGGTTAAGAACTTTGCTTCAGGATGTGAACAGAAATCGTGCTCTGGCGGCACAGGAGGAGGCCCCATTAGCTAAAGTGGTGCTTCAGGTTAAGAACAGTTTCAGGTTAAGAACGGACCTCTGGAATGAATTAAGTACTTAACCCGAGGTACCACTGTATTTCGAAACACAAACATACCACCGTTTTGCATTATATGGACCCTGGAGGAGTTGTAGCCTACATTTTTACATGAAGCAGAGCACTGAAATAGAAGATGGGGTGAGGAGGACAGGAAATCTGATATGATGCATTTGACCTGACTCAGGTCTAATCGTGGCCTAGACCAACCCAGGGCTTGGCCAAACCAAGAGAAATTCTTTCTGCCTTATATATATCTATATATCCTGGCTTACTAGTTCAGAGGGCTTGAGCTCCACTCGGTACACTGAGCACATCACATTTCTCTGATCAGTATACAGGTAAGACTAACCCGGCATCATTAAAACTTCTTCGTTTGGGTGATTAATTTTGTTTTGTTTTACTATCAGCTTTTGAGTTAGTTCCGAAGGCAATGGAATTAGCATGCCAGATGTTAACAGGAAGGATGTGAATTAGTTTAAATCTATAACGTACAAAGTAAATAAAGTGATAGACTTACAAGGCTATACATTTCCTGTTTGGTTATTTTTTTTTTAACCAATTCCCTTATCTGGGTATACTTGAAAGGAATATGTCCTACTACAGAAGGCGAATGCCTTGAGGAATGTAGAAAATATTAAAGGCTTTCGTCAGGCGTTTAGGCTTGGTCCAGGTTTCCTGTGTAGTCAGTCCTCTTGTCCCCATGTAAATGTTTGGCTCCCCCCCCCCTTACTCCTACTGCTTTCTCTTTCTCTTGAAGGGGAAGAGTAAACTCTCCTCGCTGCCTGGCGGTGTCAGATTAAATACCGAGATGGCGACAGGAAAAAGGCTGGGAGGAAAAACAAAAGACAGGGGGGTGAGAGTTATCAGGTTGGCGACGGAACTGCAGGCTTGTCGGACTCCAATTTACAGAAATCCAAACAGATTTTAGTTGACACGATCTACAATCATTACCGCCGGAGCAGAGCTAATTAAGAAATTAGCTTTCCTGATTGCCTGTTCTCACAGTGATGAGTAGTTGAATAATGTTGTGTGGCTGAAATGTTCTAAAACCCAGAGAGTTTATCAACTGTTCGGGTTTTTATAAGAGTGAGGCTTTGTTAACTTTGCAAAACCGCCATGGTATCACTCGGGCTGTATCACCTCTTTGGTGTACCTGTTTTGCTACATTCTCCTCAATCTAAATAGTGATTAGTGCAAAAACGCCTCTATTTCCTAAAAGGCACATCTGCAGATCTGTAATGTCAGAAAAGGCTTCTGTAGTACACGGTGTCGGTTCCAGTTTTTAATCCTGCTGCATAGGTTGCTTTTAAGTTTTGGCCTTTTTACAACTATGTACACTCACAGCTGGCATAACTTTAGGTTAGCTTTCATGACATTGCATGAAACTGGGGGTGCCTATTCTACTCTCCAAAACCAGCACATCATACTAAGGGCCTGTTCATTCATCTACTGTGTATATAGCCGGCTTACTGCTTTTCTTCAACCTTGATTTACACCAGTCACCCCCCCCCCCCGCCGACCCACTCAAACCCACCGCTCCACCCCCCGCACAGACAACTTGAAAATTGCTAAGTATCTTGGCAGACCACTTAATGCTTTTTCAGTTTGTTTGGGGCAATTATAATGCGCTGTGCAAGGGGCTGTATGATTTTTAAAGGTATTTTTTTTGCTTATTTTATTTATTATGTATTGTATTTTATGGTATTACAGTTATACAAAAAATACAATATAAGAAATAAAAGAGACAATTAAAATACAATTTGAAATCATTTATGAATATTTAATGTGACGGATGTGCCATGTCCTATCTTCAGCCACAAATCCACAGACTTACCTGATGAAAGTTGTGAACCACAAAGTGGTCCATGAGCCACAGCTTGGGAACCCCTGATTTATACAATACGCGTGTTGACCAGCTCATTTTTAATCAACTTGACATGGCAATAAATTGTGCTCGGGCAACTGCCAATAAAATCCGTGCTTTGTTTTAGCCACATTTGTGACAAAATATCCAGATAATCCAATTGTATCATACACAAGGTTAAAAAAAACCCATGCTGCACAGAGAGTGATTTTGTGTGAATTGTCCCTCAGCTGCTATTCCCAAAACGAGCAACTATGCTGAGGGTTAAGAAGCAGGTTTCTGGAACCTGTGTCTTTCTCAGTTACTTTTTTCAACTGAAATGTAGAGTTATGGAAATGACCTGCAGAAATATTCTTGTTCCAGTAATAATAAGAATAATAATAAGAAGAAGAAGAAGTAGTAGTAGAAGAAGAAGTTATGTGAGAAGCAACATTTTAGAGTGCTTCTGTTTTGTTTTGTTTTGTTTTGTTTTGTTTTGTTTTGTTTTGTTTTGTTTCTTAATTGCAAGTCAAGTTTGTCTTAAAGCAAATAGAAGCCACTGAGTTCAGAATCATACCCTTGGTCTCCTTCTGTTTTATGCATTAGGTTTTCCAAAATAAATAAGGCGTTAGAACTAACTGTCACCAAGCAAGTTTCCCTAAAGAGCAGATTTTAAAGTCCTCCTAAAACAGGGGTAGGCAAAGTAAGGCCTGGGGGCCGGATGCGGCCCAATCGCCTTCTCAATCCGGCCTGCGGACGGTCCGGGAATCAGTGTGTTTTTACATGAGTAGAATGTGTGCTTTTATTTAAAATGCATCTCTGGGTTATTTGTGGGGCATAGGAATTCGTTCATTATTATTTTTTTCAAAATATAGTCTGGCTCACCACATGGTCTGAGGGACGGTGGATTGGCCCATGGCTGAAAACAGTTGCTGACCCTTCTCCTAAAACTATGCTGGCAATAGGTTGGAAAGCAGTAGAGTGGTACCTCGGGTTACAGATGCTTCAAGTTATGCGTTTTCAGGTTGCACACCTCGCCGAACCCAGAAGTACCTGAACGGGTTACTTCCGGGTTTTGGCACTCGCACATGTGCAGAAGCGCCAAATTGCAACCCGCACATGCACAGGCACAGCAATGTGGGTTGCGAACACTGCAGGTTGTGAACGTGCCTCCCACATGGATCACATTCGCAACCTGAGGATCCACTGTACAGAGGAATTCCAATTGCATTTCACAGTGAGTGGTAGTTATTTACACAAGTATTTGCATCTGACTAGATTGGAGTTGATTTGGCCAATGCCATGATGATCAAAACTGAGATAAATGGGGATGTGATGGGCATGGTGACTTGTCAGATAGGCAGGCAAAGTTGTGCAGTCTCAATGCCTGAGGAGGAAATGGTAGTGTTGGAAGGAGGGGTTTCGATTTGTTAGCCACTGGGGAACATTTTGGTACAAGCAAGGCCTGTACAAAGGGGATAGTTCCACTTGAATCAAGAAGGAATCAGACTGTTGGCACTTACAATAATAATTTTAAAAATCTGGCAGAGTAGCTTTTAAAATGATTGTGGGTAGGGAAGAGGAGCTGAGGAGCATTTTGTTCAGAGCAAATCATTCAGAAGATGTTTATGATCATTTGAATGAGGCAGAGTTAGAACTAGACACGGAAAGAGGGCACTATGGATTTTAGTGTATTGATGGCTAGAAGATGCAGTGATGGACACCATTTTTAATGGCTTTAAAAGAGGATTAGGCAGATTCAGGGAGCGTAAGGCTACTGGCTGGGGTGGCGATGTCCTACCTTCACTGATGGAGGTGGTATGCTTTTGAACGCTAGATGCTGGGAATTACACAGTGGGAGAGGGCTGTTGCATTCAGGTCCCGCTCATGGGCTTTGGATAAACATATTTGGTTGGCCACAGTGAGAACAATATGCTGGACCTTTAATGGGGATCTTCTGATGTTTTCAATGCTAGCTTGTTTCAGTCACATCATGTGGCTAGCTTGTTTCAGTGACAACGGAGAAAGAGTACGAACCTCAAATGCAAATCAGGAAATTGCATACAGTGGGCAAAATCATCACCCAGGTGGTACATAGATCAGGGATGAGGGATGTGTGGCACTCCACATGTTGCTGGACTCCACCTCCCATCAACTCCAGCCAGCATGGTCTATGATCCATGAGATTATAGGAGTTCTACTCCAACAACACCTGGAGGGCCACAGGTCTGCCCTACCCCTGACATAGTCCTGGAGGCCACTACTTTCTGCAGAGTTATGTGTGCTTCAGTGTAATTGAGATCATTCTGTGCCCTACTATATTTCCTGTTTCTTGTTAAAGAAAACCAGGCCATATGAAGTGACAAAGAAAGTTACTTTGAAGCAATGGAAGGGTATCATCATTATCTCACAGCCAAAAGCTATCTTACGGGGTTCTTGAAAGGCTGGCATAGCACTATGAGCTCTATAGAGGCGGAAGAAGGTGGAACTAGAACAGTTAAGAAAAGATTCACACAGCCAACTATTTTACAGGGACCACGAGCAGAGGGGCAGTAGAGGGAAACACTATTAGCAGGCTTTTCTGCCACGCTCGTCAGCGCGCCACAATAGCTGAGTGCCTCAGATTTATTGGCAGTGTCCATAGGCCCATCCCAGGACAATTAACTTGATGACATAGTGGCACAAATGACATATTTGAAGTTATTATAATAAGGCTACATAGAGAGGGTCTCAATAGGCCTGCTGACAGTACTGTGTGCTCACTTGGCAGATTATCTTGTAAACACCCTGCTTTTAGGGATGCAAGCACACTTCTGCCCTCACATCTTGGGCTGTCTTCTGCTGTTTGTTCGTCTGCGGGCCTGTTAGCTGGAGGTTCAGCTTATTCTATTGACCACATTGTGCAGAAAGCTCTAATTGCCGATGGGATTTTGGGAACACTCGTGTGCAGGCTCTACAGCCAACAAAGCTACTCGGTGGGGTTGTATACCACATATCTGGGGACTTAGAAAGAGCCAGTCTCTCTGATTTGGAGAGTTAGGACTGGTTTACACCTCTGTCTATCCCATGATTCCTATACAAGGGTCCAAGAAGCTTTTATTTTGTCCCGCTGCTTTCCCTAGGAAAACCTGTTGTTTACTCCTGAACTGGAACAACTGTCAATTGGGTTTTCTTCTCAGACCCGTCCGTCAAAATCATGGGAGAAACAGAAGTGTGGATGAGTCTTTACTTTTGGTGGCTAAAATGATGATTTTTAGGGAGCTGCAGTGAGGCTAAAAACAGGGTTGTAAGTTCAAGAGCTATTGGATCTCACAGCTAAAGATAGGGTAGAGTAGAGTAGAGTAGAGTAGAGTAGAAGGGAAAGCTTGGGACAGTTTCAAACCTCTGGCAAAGTTTTCCAGAACTGTTTTCAGACTAAAATGATACATGGGCCTCAGAACAATTCCTTACAGGCAAGCAGTGGCAGGGCATAATTCTTCTCTCTGTTCTCTCACTTTCACTTTCCTTCCTTCCTTCCTTCTTCCAGACTCCACGGTCACTGAGGGCTGATGCTAGGAGGGGGTGGAATGGGAGTAAGTGAGTGGTATTTGTGGAGTCAAGGGCTAAACTAGGGGATGCAGGGTAGCAAGGGTGACTGGATGGTAAATTAGCCCAAGGAGAAACTGCAAACATCCAGATATAGACTGATTTTAGCCCCCAGCATTTGTTATAAAGGTTTTAGTGTATATGCCAACAGAGTGCCGAAATGTAATACTGAAACTATAATAAAGTACCCTGAAATAACACTGTTATGAGTTTGTTAAAGCTCTTTACACTTTATGCAGTGGGTAATAGCGACACTTATTCCATAAAACACATTAATTTATATTGTGTTATATAATGCATTTGAAATAACAGTTTTGTGACTTGACATTACACAAATGTATTCGTAGTATTATTTGTGGTCTAACTAAACAATCACTTCCAAAGAAGTTACATTATGCAGCAGTGTTTCTGATCTGAAAAGTACAGTATGGGTTAATTTAATGTGTGTATTTTTCTTTCTTTCACTGGACTTCCTTTTGCCAACTTTACCTTGTATAAATGATTTTGCCTGTGAGAGTCTTTATGTGGAATGCAGATCGACTATTACTTCCTGAACAGATTTAAATTTAACACCAATTTAGTCACTGTAGAATTCCAGTATTGGAAAAAACAGCTTCCATAGGGCTTCTACAATGTGCCAGAAATATGATCTCATACGTAGAAACAAATTCAAATGTGTTTTCTTTTACATATGTTTTCTTTTCATATATTTTCCCCCACCTATGCTTCTCTTTTATCCCGAAGTTGCTTCCACTTTGTGCCAGATCTCTGAGAACCTGGGATAACTGGTCTCTTGTATGAGGTAACTTTTAATAAAAATGGCCAAAATCCATCTTTAAAAACAACAAAAACAACAAAAAAGACATTTAATTACAGCAGCTAGGTTCAGATTACTTAAGTGACACAGGGTGAAACCCAGTGTACTATTGCACACGTTTTATTTGTGCAAGCATATCCGTTTGCCAGACAGAAAGATCCTCCCTCCCCTTTTCCTGAGTGCTGCTCTGGTGGTTTTCCTGAGCCCTGCTAAGCCAATTTGGGGGAGGAGCATTAGGGGAGAAGAGGACAGAAGTTCCTGTTGCACAACCAGAAGCCCTTACACGGTGCTTCCACTGACAGGGTTTGTTAGGTGAATCTGACCCAAAGTGTATCATTGGGCTGAATACACTTACATCGAAATAAATGTGTAGTGGATGAGCAACGCATCAGAAATCCACAAGAACCATCCAGAGGTTATCAACCCAGTAACGAAGGCTACATTTTTAACTTCCAGTAACACACTTGTACATAAAAGTAAAAAAGATGTACAGCGAATACCATTAACAGCACTGTGGGGAGAATCACTTCATCATGTCTAAAATGCTTGGAATTAGGAGAATGGAATTTAGTGTGACACTCTTTTAACCCATTGTTTTCAATGTCCAGATAGCCTCATCTCTGTACGGACTTGCCATGGATGCTGCTTCATGTAAATTAAAGCCGCTTCATGTGAATTAAATGGTACTTGAATGGTTATCGTAACATTACCCGGCTTTGAGTATTTAGACTATTTGTTTGAGTACATCAGTTCGCATGGTGGGAACAGGATCCTGTTTTTCTGAATCTCAGGTCTTTTACTTGAGCCACCAGTCCTGCTGCTGTCAAGGCAAGAACCAAGGTTGTTACACACTGAATTTTCCTAGTGATTAAGATATTTAACACAAGTTTTTCCTGTAATTACAATACATTGGGAGAATTCCGCGGTGCTCAATGGCTCTCAAACTCACCTGCCAACTGTGTAGTAGCCCAGGGCTGCAATATATGCAAACAGAGAATGAGCTGATTACCTTTGTGATGTTCTGCTTAGTTTGTTTCCCTCCTCCTGTTAACACAATACCCATACATGTTTAATGGTTTGCCATTTACTAGGAAAGGTATATACTTCAAGGTAAATTTCTTTACAATAAACGTATGTTTGACATCATTTAGGCTCCTTCATTAACAGGGCTTGAGGAGATGTCAGCCCATGTGAAGCAAACCCAGTAAAATCTTAGCTTTGTCCCATGCGACCTGAGAAAGTCAAAGCAGTAAAGTCTTCCTCATTGATTTTTAGAGCTTTTAAAGGGAAGGCACACTCTCAGAGCAAAGGTATTCATGTGGCAAGAACTTTGCCTGTCTATTCTGCATCGCCCAGTTGTAACATTTGAAGGGGGCAACCACTGTCAGTAAACAAGATGCAGGAGATACACTCGGGGGAACTGTAGCCAATTGCTTTATATGGTTCCCCAGGGCATTTCTAGCTTGCTCTCCTGTTTTTCATAGCTGCTATGGCGCTCACGTGGTAGAGAAAGGTCAAACATGTCTGCTACACAGAAAGCATCATGGGTACTTATTGTCAGTTGCGTTTCTGTGTGCGAGTCCTGAGTTATGGACATGGTATCTCTTGTCTGACATGACTTAACTACCACTGCAAATAAGTTCACTGCTTCTCTGTTGCCTGTTTGTGACAGAAGTTAGCAAGAGAAGCCCTATAGCTAGGATTCTACCCTCTGCCCAAATGGGCTGTGGTGTTCACACATTGCTGGTGTTCTCCAGTCAGAAGACAGAGCGATTTGATGATGTTATTTGAAGCATTTGCCCAGCTGTGGTGACTGAATGGGCTGCTCTGGGGCTTGTATATCTGCTCTAAAATAGGGCCTTGCTTAAAGCATTCTAGTCACCACATGACAACAACAGGACCAGCTGTGAGACCCTTGGCATATGGCAGCCTGATGCATGTGGGCAGTTTGGAAGGAGCAACGCTACACCCCTCCCCTCCAGAAAAGACCATATTTGGAGAGGAGAAGGTGCAGGGGGGTGGGGGAAAGAAGGAAAGAAAATAAATCAATTTTCCTTGTTTCTTGTGGCAGAGCTAAGGGGCAAGATTGATGTACAGGATGGGGTCTAAAAGCTGTTGTTAGAGGAGCAGACACACACACAGAAACAGCGTAAGGCTGACACATAAATCACCTAAGCACTACTAAATCCCCAAAGGCATTCCCATTAAGTGGAATTCTATCCCTATTAGGCAGCAGTCATTGCTATTAAGTATCATTAGGTTTAAATCTGCCCCCAGAAAGAGGGCAGATTGATACTGGGAGTTTTGCCTGAGTAACGACATCAGGACTGGACGCTGAGCAGATATCCCAGTTGTACCCTTCCCCCGCCACATGACTTCATGGAACTCCGTGCGGGAATGGAATTGAATGTGCCCACTCCCAGCACATCATATTAAGGTTAAAAATATATCTCCTCGTCTGCATTCCCCAAGTGAGTAACATTTCCAAACCCTTCCTTCGCATACCTTTTAAATAAAAGAACAACCTGCACATTGTTGGAAGTTAATATTCAAACTAGAACATAATTGCTATTTTCTCCTAGCCTGCTTTTTAAAAACAAACACAACAACGAGCACACACACAAACACACAACATGAGCAAATGGCTTTGCACTTCTCCAATCTTTTTTATTTTTGAAAAAAAAAATTCTTACTATAATCCAGCGGGTAAGAATCTAATCCTAAAAAAAAAAAACCCCAAAGGCCAATTCTCACAAACCTTTCCTCTGCATGATGCATGTACTGCTAGTGCCTACTTCTAACTGCTAGTGGGGATGGTCACGAGCAAGCCGGATAGCGCTTGCCCAACTCTGCGTTGCATTAGGTTTTGAGCACTGTTCTGGCCAGGAATTTTCAAGCATTTGTAGTAGTGTGAAAAAGTCAGTGTGGAAGTTCTGTGTGTACTGTCGCTCTGCATATGTCCACCTTCTTGCATAGCATGGGTGACTAGAAGTTGATTCAACTGCCACATCAGAAGCAGTTGTGGGGAAAAGCCATTTTATGCATGTTAGCCTTTCAGAAAGGTGAAATGTAAGTGCATCTACATATGTTTTAATATTATTTCCCTTAGCAAGATAAATGGTATAAATAAGCCTAGGAAGAGCAATTCTATACTCCATTTTTGCCAGGACTGGGGGTGTGCTGCTGCTAGAAGGAGTTCATCAGCAATGCCCTGTCAGGATAGAGACAGGGGAAATGTGCCCCTGTTAATTATCCTCAACTGCTATTGATATCCTCCTGGACCAGATTGCTGAGTTAAGAGGTGGATGGCACTGCTTTGCGGTGGTTCTGGTCCTACTTGGATGGTAGTTTCCTGAGGGCAATGCTTGGGGATTGAAGCTGTCAATGTAGGGTTCCTCGGGGTTCAATTTGATCCCGTGTTGTGTAACAACTACATGAAACTGCCGAGTGGGGTTATCTGGAGTTTTGGAGTACATTGTCAGCAATATGCTGACACAGCTCTATTTCTCCTTCACGTCTGCAGGTGAGGCAGTGGATGTGCTGGACCGTTGTCTTGTCTTTGGTCATGGACTGAATGAGACCCAACAAACTGAAGCTCAATCCAGATAAGACTGAGGCATTGTTAGTGTGTGGTTCCCTAGACCAGATGGATGGGAGGTTTCCTCCTCTTGATGGGGTTATACACTCCCTTTCTAGGAATGGGTACATAGTTTGGGGATACTTCTGGATCCTTTGCTGACGGTCAAGGCTCAGCTTTGTTCCTATCTGGACAGGGATAGCCTAACTACTGTTGTCTATGCTCTGGTACTCTCTAGGTTAGATTCCTGCAACACATTATACATAGGGCTGCCTCTGAAGACAGTTTGGAAACTTCAGCTAACGCAGAATTCGGCAGCCAGGTTGCTCATTGGGGCATAATGGTTTGAGCATATTACACCAAACCTGGCCTGACTCCACTGGCTGCCAATTAGATCCTGGTCCCAATTCAAAGTGCTGGTTTTGACAACGGGGATGGGAGGAGAATACACATGTACTTTGCAGAAGGTATTCCACTTTGCCTTTCTGACCCGTGCAGGGTACTCCGTCCTGTCACACATACCCCAGTTTCTGAAGTGAAGCTTGGTGCTGAGTGGTGGTGCCTGGAGTCATAAGGCAAGATACCCATTAAGTTTCTAAGCAGAGAAGTCATAGCAATGGACTTCACTTCCCATGCGTGTAGTGGGGCCAGGCTGTTTTGTGCAAAATGCTCAAATACCCTATCACCAGAGATCTCGCTTGTGAGCTTTAAGTGTACATGACACGAAGCCAGAGAGATAGAGCTCCATGCTGCACAGTGCACGCCCTGTCATTTGAGTTAAGCTCTCTCTGTGTGGGGCTTATATATTGGAGGCAGTGGATGTGGAGTTACACAATATCCTATGCTCTGTTCTGGCAACATGGACAGGGTGGTCCTCATCGAGAACAATAGGATGATGATGATGATTTGTACTAGGGCTGGTATGAACTGGCACTGTTGACCAGGGCAAGGCCATGAACTGAAGGTGTATAGCCGGGTTGGGGAACCTCAGGACCAGGGACCAAATGTGCCGCTCCATTCCTCCCTGTCTGGCCCTTGGAACTCTCCTCAGGCCACACATCTCAATGCAACTGCTTCACACGAAGTGGCTTTTACTGACCGGATTGTGTCTGTGAACTCTCATAATGCCTCTTGCTTGTCTTGAGAGAGAACAGAGAAGGGTGAAAGTGTGTGAGTGGAAACTAGCCTACTGTGTTCCTCCTACCAGTTTTGCATTTGGTCCCACACACCACGGGCACATGGCCTTCAGAAGGTTACCCAGAAAGGCATGCGGTCCTTGGGCTGAACCCCCTCACCCATGCGCCTTCCATGTGCTGCTCACGTCCCATGAGCAACTCCATCCCATTTTAGCTTTTCTGAAGGCATATCTTTACCAGCAGAGTGTTCTGCCACTGTATTGTAGAAATTCCACCCGCATACCTGCTATGGCCACAACATACCTGGCATTCAACCAGCAAACGGTGGCTTCTGATGAACTGTATAGCACCCCAGCCAGCAGATCTAAAGTACTGAACAATATTTGTGCCCTAAATTCTCTTTTACGCATGCAAGCTGTATGCCCAACTTAAAATACTTAGTTGCCAGCAGAGGGAAGATACCACAAATGCAGTTCCTCATATGTATAGATTATAGATGAGTCTCAAGGATTCTGCTAATCATTTGTTGACATGTAATAATTTGGTGAATTTTTTTTTTACCTTAGCAAACAGTATTTTGGGAAAGTTGAATAAGTGAAAGCTGAAGAGAAAGCAATAAGGAATGCATAGTTTATTCTGGGTAGAAGAGACAAGAGAGAGCCAGTTTTATAGCATATCTTTATCAACTTAACTAAGCAGGTAGGGTGTTCATTAGCAAGGCTCCGTTTAAAAAAAGAGAGAG